GTGGCAAGAGCTGGCTGTGACCGAGGCGATGGGCTCTGCTCCCAGCACTGGTGCTTGCAGATGTCTGCCCTACAGAGCTGTGCCATCCACATGGTGCCCTGTCCCATAAAAAAGTCATGTCCCTGTCCCAGTCTGCGTTATTTACTGTTCTCTTTTCTGGTTAGCTACAGGCTCTGGCTTCCCCACAGTCCCTCTGTTGGATCTGTTTCTATGCCTTTCCCAATAGTCAAAGCCTCCATCCCAGTGCTCACTTGCTCCCAGGATCTTTATGTTCTTGGGGGCTGGATGTGCCAGAGCCAGTTTTTAAATCTCGCTTTGATATGCTGACGAGCTGGGCGTACAGGAGTGCTCTTGCACCATTCTCGTTGTAGCACCCGGTGAAGGAGCTGCCCTTGCCAACCTGCTGTCCTGGCTGTGCTGGGAGCCCAGACCTTGCCCTCTGCACCCACAGCAGGCATGTGGAAAGGGAAGCACAGGAGATGCCCTGCAGAAACCCTCTCCTTGGCCACAGCCCCCTGCCAGAGTGTTTGTTGCCCAGGGTTGGTGCTTGGTTCAAGCACAGGAACGGCCCCTGTGTGGCAAGGGCCTCTGGTTTATTAGCACAGAGAGAAAATCTGGAAGCAGAGCCTGCGGTTTCCCCAACAGCTGCCATCGTGGGGTGTGTCACCACTAGCCACGAGCTGTCCCAGCAGCAGTCACACTGAGCCTGCTGCTGCAAGTCCCAGGGCTTGGCTCCCCCATGCCTTGCACCTGGGCTTGGCACCCCGTGATTTGTTGCTGGGGTTGGCACCTCATGCTCTGCACCCCACGCCTGACTCCCGTGCCCTCTCCCTCTGCAGCAGCCCTCATGGGCATCTGCCTGGTGTCAGTCACCTACGGAGCGCTCGTCTGCAACGTCCTGGCCATCCAGGTCAAGTACGATGACTACAAGGTCCAGCTGCGGCCGCTGGCCTTCCTCTGCATCGTGCTGTGGCGCAGCCTGGAGATCTCCACCCGCGTGGCTGTCCTCGTGCTCTTCAGCACCGTCTTCAAGCACTGGATCATCCCTATCGCCTTGGCCAACCTGCTGGTGGTCTTCTTCTTGCCTTGGGTGCATTTTTCCTGCCCGACAACATTGAGAAGAACTTCAGCCGGGTGGGCACGGTGGTGGTGCTCTGTGCCTTCACCCTCCTCTATGCCAGCATCAACATGTTCTGCTGGTCAGCCGTGCAGCTCAAGCTGGCTGACCGGGACCTCATTGACAAGTCACAGAACTGGGGTCGCCTGGCCGTGTACTATGTGGCCCGTCTGCTGGAGAACACGGCCCTCGTCATCCTCTGGTATTTTTTCAAGACTGACGTCTACGAGAACATCTGCACCCCGCTGCTGGTGGTGCAGCTGCTCCTGGGCTACTGCCTGGGCATCTACTTCATGCTCCTCTTCTTCCAGTCCCTGCACCCCTGTCGCCAGCTCTTTCGGCACAACGTTGCTGATTTCCTCCACTGTGT